GACCTGCTCTGCAATTCACTCCAACGCTGCCTTTGTTCTTGGCCCTCCTGACTGATTTCCCCCTGCAAAGTTTCCATTTCCCATTTGCTGTGTGTCAGTGGGATTGATCGTTGCAGAGCAGGATCTATACCCCAGCCATGTGGAAACCTGATACCTACAATAGCCTTGATGGGGACTGAGGCTTTTTACCTTTTTCCTGCTAAAACTGAGAACCATAAATGAGTGTTGCAGTCATGTGTGGTTGCTGGCCCAGCCAGGGAGCTGCTCTGGTTGCCATCTGATGCCTGGGAACTGAGGGTGGCTTTGAGGACAGGGATCAGTTCCCATTGCTTACACAAACAAACTGAACAGTTTCCTTGATGCTGAGATTTGGGAATGGGTGGAACAAGGAGCTGGATGCCCTCAGTGATGAGGCTAGGCCCCAGCAGAGCCAAAACTTGAGTGATGAGAGCAAAACAGAGGATGGAATCCATCCTATGCTGCTCCTGCTGTGTGGGGAGACAGGATAGAGGCGGGTCTGACAAAGCAGAGTCAGGCTGCAGAGCTGGGGCACTGCTGTCCCACCTGCCAGCTCCACACAGGTCCTGACATGCCTTTGACACTCACAGCATCAGCCAGCTGAGTGTGGAGCCAGGGAGAGCTGACTGGTGTATTTTAATTAGAGTGAGACTAAATTACACCGGACTACGAGAGCCTGCCTTTTGCACAACGGCTCGGGGAAAATGAAAAGACTAGCATTTTCAATTTAAGGTTTAGTTAGATAATGCCTGTTGGTGCCAGTAGATTACAGAGTGGATATTAAATCCTCCAGGATTTGCAGCGGGAAAGTACTCACAGAATCCATAAGCAGGCAGGAGAGCACGGCTGTGGAACTATCGTCCCCTGGAGGTCCCGAGCAGGAGGAGAAAATGGGAAGTAAATCTTTCCTTTGAAGGAAGCTCCACGTAAAGAGCACACATGGGCAGGCTGTGGCCTTTAAAGGTTTCCCTGTTAAGAAGCTTTCTTGCTTCTGACAGCAGGCAAATGGCATGTGAGAAGGTAATGGGGTCTGTCAAACTGCTGGAGCAGGGAGAGGCAGGGCTGAGCTCCTGAGCGCTCACGCTCTTGCTGTGGGGTTTGAGATGGGTTTCTGTGAAGGATCCCACAGAAGGACCTTCTGTGAGCATCCCTGTAAAACCAAGGCAGCTGTCCTGTGGCACAGGGATTGCAGAGTTTAAAAAGCAGTTTCCAGGCAGCTCTGGTGCTGAGCTGTTGGATGGAATCTGTGTGAGCTGATGCGGATGCAGGAGCTGATGAGCAGCTCCTGCCAGCAAAGCAGATTCTCCTCCTGCTGCCTTGGGATAGCCCACCCCAACTTCAGCAGGACTTGGGGGCACCTAGGACTTGGCAAGCTCTTCCTCGAGCTCATCCAAGTCAGATTAACCAGGTTTAGGGTGCCAGCCATGGGAAGATTGTCCAACACTGCAGCCCAAGGGAGACTGGGTATCACTGGCATAAAGTACCTGGTATCGGGCTCTATGTGAGCCCACAAACAGTCTGAGGCAGAGTTCCACAGAATCTGCTTTAAATCCTCCCTGAAACACATCCAGGAGCCCAGGATTCAGGATCAGCAGTGCCAGGGAAGCTGCTCCCTTTGGTCTGTGCCTCTGTCTGCTGCTGAGGGACTGCAGGCCACGCTCACCTGCCTTCTCAGGGAGAAAGTGTTGAAAACTCATATTTACAAAACACTGAAGATCCAGCAATAACAAGAAATAGAAAGGACAAAACGTTTCTCCTTCATTACTCCCATATATAAGAAGCTTTGCCTAACAGCCCGTGGCCACTGTTCCAGGAGCAGATATGTGGTTGCTGGAGGTGTGTAAGATTAGTAGTTTAAAAGCACTAAAATGTGCAAATTAATTACCACAGCTACCCATGCATGTTTTATCTGCCTTAAATGCTGGGCTTTTATTTTTTTTTTCCCCCAGGTTAAGGGAAATATTAACCTATAAGGAGCTGCATCAAGGTCTGTAGCCTGACGAGCTAAAAGTCTAAAGATCAGATCCTTGGCAATGAAAATTCAGGAGCTATCATAGTCTTTGATTGAACATCCCAATAGTTTCATTAAGAACACGTCCCTGTATTTTATGCCTGCTAATTAGCAAATTCAAACACTTTATCTCTGTGTTATCTTTGTGCAGGAGAGTGGCAAATTTATGTCATTATAATATATTACTGAAATTTAAAGGTTCACAAGCAATTAGATTTTGTAATTCTTGTTTATGCCCCTGAAGAATTGTTCATTTTAAAACTTTATAGTTAATACCTACGAAGATAAAACGGTGGCCTGTGTTGCTCTGGTGACAGAAGTCAAGTGGCTGAGTGGGCTGAATGGATCCTTGGGAATATTTTGGAGGTGGTTGCCTTGATTCTTAGCTGGATCTTGCAGGGAATTCACACCCAAGGAGTGAGTCTGTCCCTGTGTTATTGATGCTTCCCTTGGGCGATCCATGGAAATTCAGGGAAACAGTCCCGGCAGCGATGGAGCGGCGGAGCGCTGACACCTGCCGGCAGGACCGGCCCGGGAGCCTCCTCCTTCCCTGGGATACACCCTGGGACTGTCCATGGAGCTGCCTCCTTCCCTGGGATAGAGCCTGGGTGTGTCCATGGAGCCACCTCCTCCCCTGGGATAGAGCCTGGGACTGTCCATAGAGCCTCCTCTTTCCTGGGATAGAGCCTGGGATTGTCCATAGAGCCTCCTCTTTCCTGGGATTCACCCGGGGATTGTCCATAGAACCACCTCCTTCCCTGGGATAGACCCTGGGAGTGTCCATGGAGCCACTTTCTTCCATGGGATCGGACCCAGAGTCACCTCCTTCCCTGGGAGCAGCCCCAGAGCTGTCTCCTGTGCCCAGGATGGATCCTGGGAGCAGTCCCAGGGCCACCTCCTTCCCTGGGACTGGCACCAGAGCCTCCTCCCTCCCTGTCCAACCCCCCCCCATGCAGGGGCAGAGCCCGGGGCTGCTCTGAAGGGCTTTGGGGGTTTGCAAATAAAGCCTGTGCTGGGAAACATCCTCCTCTGGCCAAGAGATTCGTACCTAAACCTCTAAACTTTAAGGAAATTGCAAATTTCTGGGAGTGAAAGAGGGCAGAGACCACTCTGGATTTGGTTTGGGCTCTGGCAGATGCCATCCCTGCCCACAGCAGGGGGTTGGAATGGGATGATCTTTAAGATCCATTCCAACCCAAGCCATTCTGTGATCCTGGGATCCAGAGGTGCCCCAGCTGCTCGTTTCCCTCTGAGTCACTGTAAATGTCTTGTTGAGCCTTGCTCTGACAGCCCACCTTCGGGTGGCCAAGTGTTCTCTGCACCCCTGCAGCTGCTGGCTGGACCAGAGAGACCCATCATCCCCATTCCTGATGGAACCATAAAATAGTTTGGGTTGGAAGGGACCTTTTAAAGCTCATTTAGTCCAACCCTGTTGCCATAAACAGGGACACAACCAGACCAGGTTGCTCAGAGCCCAAACCAACCCGACCCTGAATGTTTTTAAGGATGGGGCATCCATGGCTTCTCTGGGCAACCTGTGCCAGTGTTTGTCCACCCTCTCTCAGGGGTGTTCCTGGGATGAAGAGCTGATGCCTGAGCAAGATCCAACCCCTCCATTCTGCCTGAGCAGAGGGAGAGGATCCATCCTGTCCCTCTGAGCTGGGTGTGCAGTGGTGCTGAGCTCAGAGCAGGCTGTGAAGTTCCTTCCAGCATGTCTGGAGCTGCTCTGCCTGAATTCCCTGAACAGGCATGAGGCAGCCCAGCAGCTCTGAGGTTCATCACTCCATCCCTACAGCCCTGCAGCTCTGAGGTTCATCACTCCGTCCCCACAGCCCTGCAGCTCTGAGGTTCATCACTCCATCCCCACACTGCTCCCTGCCTCTGACTGCTCAGGGCATGAGCTCCATTATCATTTTCCAGCATCACACAGCCCAGGAGTGCAGGGTGTGCTTGTAACTGGCTCCTCTCATGCTTAAATGGTGGAACTGAGATGTTTTGAGGCAGTTTCAGGACAGGAAGAAGATTTCTCTTTGATTGCTTTTTAATCACAGTAATAACAGTAATGGAGGCAGTGAGTGGAATTGATGGGGAAGAGCTGAGCTCTCCTCTGTGCCAAACTCCCATGTGGGGTAAATAAGAAGGATTTACTGGCTTCTCAAGTGAATTGGTGGCATCCTTGCTCTTCAGAAAGGAGTCTGGGGAAAAATAGCTGGTATCTAGTACCTGGGAGATAAAATATGCCAGTCATCCTCTGGAAAGCCTTAGTCTGTCTGGGGTAAATGAATAATCCTTGCCTGCTTCTGTTCTTGTCCCCAGAGGTTGAGATGTACAATTGCTCTTTTTAAGCAGCTGTCAGGGTGTGTCTAGCCTTGAATCTGCATCTTTAGCAGCCCCAAAGGGGTTTTACTCTTCCCTCAGAGGCAGGAGAAGCCACAATGTTGGGAAGACATTTGAGCTGTGCAGAACCAGAGGTCCCCAGAGGTTTTCAGTGGGAGGAGGGTCCAAATGGTGCCCAGAACCAACCTCATGGGGAGATTTGGGTCTGTGCTGGGACAAAACAGTGCCCCAGCTCAGCATGTCCCCTCACAGTCTGATTTTGGGCAGTGAGCAAGTGTTTTTCTCTAGTGGGAATTGTTGAGGTGTAACTCTGGCAGGGAAGAGCCACAGGTTGAGGGGTTTCCCAAAATACCTTTGCAGGAAAGACTTCAGTGGCACCAGCATTTGGGAACCAACCTAGCTGGGCAGGGTAGTCTCAAGGTATTGCATTAGAAGTGCATTCATCAGCTCTCACCTTCAAGGATGTGGGAATTTTCTCTGACCTGGACTTAAAACATCCATAAAGCAGCGAAAAAGCTGGGGAAAAATGGGTTTTCCATACCCGTTGCTCACATCAAGAATATTTTGTGGAGATTTTAACCTCCCTGAGACTCTTACAAACACACAGACACCAAAGCCAGAGCTGTTAGTTTTGGTCAGACATGGAGCTCTCTCCTTTATTTCTGCAGTGTGTGTTGCACACGGGAAGGGGCCTCATTTACATCAGCGCAGCCGTGTCCTGTCTGAGGAGCTGGAATTCCTCTTGCTTTGCTGATCAAGACAAACACGACAAAAACAGTTCATGCACAATACACCTGAAGCCTCTCTGCCACGTTCCCCGGGACTGAGAGGTGCCACTGTGCCCCTCTGGCAGGGCAAAGGGGCCGGGGGACACCGGCAGGGCTGGCAGGGGGGGCCTGGCATCCCCCCAGGAGCAGCTCCATTCGCTGGGAAAAGTTGTGTGTGCGAGGTCTGTGAGGCCCTGGAGGAGGGGACGGGCAGCAAACAGGCTGGGGGGGCTGCAGGGGTGGGGCAGGGCAGGGGACAGCAGGAGGAAAGGGACGTTTGTGTCCCCAGGGTGGTCACAGGGGCGGTGCCCAGCTGGCACCACAGAGCCCTCTCTAGGGCAGGGAGGAAGGGGGGATTTAAACATCCAAGTTTTGGAGGAGGAGGGGGAGGGATCACTGACACATTTTGGAACATAAAGAGGAGGTGGTGGAAGCTTTTACTGGAACCCAAGTGATTACTGGAACCTGCTCAGGGGCAAACCAGCAAGACCTGGAGGGGGCTCGTTCTCTCCTTTCACACACATACTCCAACCTTCCAGAGCTTTTCCAAGCAACTCTCTCCCAGTTTCTCTTTCTTCACATCCTACCCTACCACACCAGCCCCTTCCCCCTCTGGTCATTAAGGCAAAAAAAAAAACCAAAAAAAACCACTATAAAGTGACATTTCAAGTCCTCTGGAGCGACCAATGTTCAGCCTCACAAGTTTTGTACGAGGTGTTGCATTAAAAAGCAGAATCTTTGCAGGGGGATTAGCCAGAAAATAATCTTCAGGGAATGACAGGTGGGACCTCTCTCAGGCATTTGGGGGCAGGAAAGGGAGGAGGGGGGTGAAGCCATTCCAAAACCTGCTTGAAGAGAGCGAGCCATGAAAAGTAGCTGTTAGGTCTTGGCTCTCAAGGTTGGAGGGCCCTGACCCTGCTCCCCCTGACTGACCTGGGGAGGCTTTTGCACAGCGTGGATTTTACCCCTCAGCCTGTCCATGGAGAGGGAAAATCATCTCAGGGAGCTCATGGAATGCTTAACCAGCCCTGGCTGCTTTGCAGGCTGATGTGACTCATCTGTCCAGGGGACAAATAAAAAATATTATCCTGAGCAAAAAGCCACGGGACTAATTCTCATTGCCCACTGCAGGGGAAAAAAAACCCACCTGAAATACAGTATATAAATCAATTTTGGTTTAGGGGAATTAAGAAAAACCACTAGAAAACAAAAAAGCACCCAACACCTATGGCATCTAATCAATCTTGTATTAGCAGGATGGATTTTCTTTTTATTTCTTAATTTGAAAAGGTGGCTGGAGGGGCACTTTGATGGGATGCAAAGCCTCTCTGCCCTCCACCAGCAGCCAGCCTTGGGCTGCAGCAGCTCTGCAGAGCTCCTGTCGTGGCTTTTTTGGCAGGCAAGGAGCAGAGCTGAGCTGGTGGAGGACCCTGAGGAAGCGTGGTGGGACCTGCAGGGCTCCAGGGAGGTGGCAGTGCTGGACCTGCCCCCAGTGAGAGCTGGGTGTCCCCAGGAGAGGGCGGGTGACAGGGCAGAAGAGGCACGGGAAGAGCTTTTAGCCCATCACTGCTCCCAGGGGCTGGCTGGGACCTCTCCATCCTGGGCAGAGCTTTGGGCTCCCCAAGCTTGGGACCTTCACCGGGATTTGAACAGCTCCTAAAAACACACTCAGGGCAAAGGGGACACAACTGGTTTGGCAGGGGCTGCTACCCAAGCATGCATGCTTCCCAGGAGAGGCAGAGCAGCAGAGGGAACAGGGAGGGAACGAGGAGGGGACAGCAGAGGAGAGGGTTATGTTGTTAAGGCCTGCGGAGCTTTCAAGGCAATTGGGTGATTTGGAGAAAAAAAAAAGTCCTTGTTTCCTCTAGAAAAGGCTATTCCCTTCTGCACCTTCCCTCTCCCTGGCAGAGATTAGAGCAGTAAGGTTAATATAGTAGCAGGTACATCCATGAAAATCCGCAGCTGAGTCTTCACTCCAAGTGCTGCCAGCTCTTCCCTAAATCTTCAGGGATCAAGGTGCCTCGTTGGAAGTGGCTCCATTGCCTTTGTTGACGTAAAAGGGGCGGTAATGTGACTGCAATGGAGAATTTGGGGCATGTGAGTTTGACCCACCTCCTTTTTCTGGCCACCTACACCTCTCACCCTCCTGGGCAGCCCAACCATTCCTATCTCACAAACTCCTCAACACCTGGGGCCTGGAGGAACCTCTGCCTCACTTCTTCACTGCTGGAGGTGCTGGAGACACCAGAGGCAGATAAATGGCTTTGCTTTCTGATTTACCTGAGCCAAATGAGCCTCTGCATCATGTAAAAGCTCAGACTGTGACTCATGGCTTGATGAGGGGTTTTTTGGGAGGAGAGGAATGTCACCTTTATGCTGCTGTCAGTGTGTTTGAATTGCTCACTAACTCAGGGGAGTTTTCACACTCGAAGCTGTGTGCAGTTATTCAGGTTGTGAGGTGTTTCCTGGTGCTCTCTGGCTGGCAAACCCAAACTCTTGTGCATGGAAATACCCTCACAATGGTGTGGTTTTTATTTGCCCAGTGCTCAGTGTTTGTGTAAGTGGAGAGACAGGGGAATTGCTGGTTTCTGTCCCTCCAGCTCATTTTACTGCAGTCCCTGAGCACATCTCATCTCATCTCATCAGGACCCACCCCTGCATTTTCACTCTTATCTGCACCATCTCAACAAGCAACACGTGGCAAAGGTGTGTTGTGCAGCCTCCTGTTGGCTCTGGAGGGCTGCAAACACAACAGCCAGTTTATTTATTTATTTATTTGTTGTGGTCACTGGCTGCACTGGCAGAACCTGCAGCCCTGGGTGAGAAAATGCTCACCCCACTGAAGCAGAGAGCGTGGAAATCAGGCACAATTGGGTTTTGTAATGCCCAGCCTGTCTTAGGTTTGATCCACTGCCCAGATCCCCCGTGCAGAATGTGGGAGACACCTCACAGAAAACACACTGCTCCTTTCTTGTGCAGCACTAGTTTAATATTAGGAACAGCAGGAAGGATGGGCAGAGCAAACCCAGCCCATCTTGCTGCTCAGTTCCCCCCACACCTCCTGCTCAATGTTCCCTTTTGTTGAAATCCTTTTCATTTAATGGCTTTAATTTCCAATATAATTAAGATATGGAAGAGGGGGGGCTTCGTTTAAAAGAACTTCCTGGGGGTTAAAAAGACATTCCTCCTTAAACTGAATAGTCCTTTGTGAAAATTCATATTTACAGACCTTTTAGAATGTATATTACTTAAATACACATTTAAGACTATTTTACAAGCTAGATTATTGGCCCAATAGACCATAAAACCTCCTGCAGAGATACTGCAGTCCAGAGCACGCATTTCTACTTTGGTACTTTTAAATGCTTGTATTTATCAGCTCAGTTGTTGGGTTCAGGGCTACCTGGTGAACAGAGGTTATAAAAATGAAATAGTCATTACAAATGGGAGCATCAGTGAGGAAGGGAGACAGAAAAAACCAGTGACTGGGTGGGAGAAGTTCCCCAGGCTTTCTCCTGATGTTTTTTTTTAGGCAGGCAGTGGTCAAACACAAGACAGAAGGGATTGCAAAACTTTGCTGTTTCTTGGAGATACCTTTTGCTGTAGCACATTCAAGTCTGGATTTCCTCAAAGTGCCCCAGTTTGCCCAGGAACATCCCCTTTCCCAGGCATTCATCTCCTGGGGAGCCTTGAAAATTGAGCAGATACAGCTGCAATCCTCAGGCAGCCACTTTCTAACTGCTGTGTATTTGTTCTGCTTTCCTTCAGTGTGGGAATGCTCTCAATTCTTGACCCTCTGCTCCTTATTTCCATGGAACAGTAAATACTCTTTCACAAATGGAAAACCAGAAATTAAAAAAAACCAAACCAAAACAAAACAGATTTCATCTGAGGGGGCAAAAGCTTGACAATCTTAATTCAGATCATGCAAGACCTTAATGCAGCACAGTGTGAATGGATGTTAAGGAAAAATAGATTGACTTTGTGCTTCTGTGGTAATGCATTAACTGTTTGTTAACCCTGTATATTTGAGATCACAAGACCTAAAATATCACTGTCCTCTGCTTCTTATAATTGTCTGGTCTGTGCTAACAGTGTAAAATGAGTGACTTAGAGATGTTCTAGTGATTTCTGACTCCTCATCTCTGATGTTGCATTTGCCCAGTGCAGGACATAATTAGGAAGATCCTTTTATCTGGTTGTCTTTGGTGTCATTTACACATTCTAGATGTCACAGACTAATAAGAGTGTACGACACCCCTGCAGGGAGGAGAATCCTACAGACAGCAGCATGTGTGCGCTTACAGTATTTGTGTAGGGCAAAACCTTTCCCAAATGTCATTTTGCAGGGTTGATTATCCCCCCAGCCCAGAGCTGGGGAGGTGGAGGGGTTACTCTGCATCCCTGACAGGAGCTGTTGACTTGGAGCTTTTCCTTTCCCCTTTCCAAAGGACCCATCCCTGTCTCAGGTGTCCCTAGAAGAGGCAGCTCTGCTGCTGGAGATGTGCACAAGCTTTCCCACCAAGGAGAGGTTTTCTTACCAAAACAGACTGTTTGGTGGATTTCCACGTCTGTGGCGTCACCTTTGCAGACTGATGTCTCACTATGGAAGGATAAGCTGTGACAACATAAAACAGCCTGTTACAGATCAGCCCCTGCCACCACCCCCGTGTCCCCTGGCCAGCGTCGGGATGAGCAGCAGGACTGGAAGTGCCACATAATTAGTATTGCAATTGCTTCCCATGGAAATGCAGCCATTCCTGGGGTGGGACACGACAGCCATCAGACAGAGTCCTACTCCACCACCCAATCAGTTAGGAAAAGGGAGTAAAGGAGGTCTGGCTAATTAAAATGTCTGAGGAACGCAGAGAGGTGGAGTGCAATCAGACCAATTAAATTCAGGCCAAATCCCAAACTCAGCATTCTGACTCTTGCAAGGAGCACTCCAGGCTGTTTAATTAGTGCAAAGAGCTGAGGCCTGGGGTTCATGACAGCACCTCTGGCAGTGTGATAAGCCCTAACCCCCTTCTACCACACCAGCTCTGTTCTGACTCAAAAATAACACCAGCCCTGCTGTATCACAGCCAGTTTCAGGGGATCAGACAATGACCTTTCCCCACCGTCTCCATCTGCAAATTAGTCAGACCTGACTCTCCCTGGCAGGTGCTGGTGCTCTTGGATTCCACCTCTGGTGCCCTTGAACTCATGAAAAGAGGAGGATGAGATGGTGAACGTGGGATTCTGGTTCAGGTGAAAGAGGACAAGTGGCTACTGCATATTTTTTTTAACGTTGTGCTCAGTGTCTCTTAATCTTTCAGGATGAGACTAGTGGGGCTGGAGGGGCAAATGGCCATGAACATCATTCCCTGGTATCTTTCTCGCCTCTAAAATCATCTAAAATTTGTCTCTACCCATTACAAACGAAATTTAAAATCCCTTCACCTCTTCACTGGACAAAACTTTGCAATAGTCTCTAACACTCCTTAATAAACTCCCCTTGCCCTGGCTCAGCAGAGTTGCTCACGTAAACACGTGCAGGTATCTAAGAGACTGGCAGTCAGGATTGCTCCAGGCCTTCTCTGGGGGAGCAAGGACAGGATGAGGTGTGTTATCAGCTCAAAAAGGGGCAGGAGGAAGGGGGAATACTCAGTTCCTAGTACCGGTCTTAGTGAAGAGGCTCCCGTCAGACTGTTTGCTGAAGTCACCGGGCGGATTCTGTCCCACCGAGGAGAACTGAAAAGGCAGCTTAGTACCATTGCCTACTGGAAGATAGAAGAGGTGGTGTTATTCCGTGGTGTTATTCCATGGTTTTCCACGGGCTGCAGTGGAGCAGCCCAAGCATTTTCAAAACACACCCTGTAAGAGCTGCCTTCGACTGGCCTGGGGCGGGGGGAGGTGGGAACAAGTGGCTTTGTCCCTCTTGTCTCGGTGACAAAAGGCAGATGAGAGCAGTCAGCTGGGGGGGCACAGTGTGTGGGAGTGGAGTGATCCCAATGCTCCAGGCAGGGAAGAGCCTTTCTCTTGAGAGACCCAGAGGGCAGGTGTGACTGAGGAGCAGCAGCTTCCTCGCAGGTAAAGTGCCTCTCCAGACAGGAGTAATGACTCCACGGTTGCCCAAGCTCCCTTGCCTCCAAGCAGTTGAGGCTTTATTCAAAGCCCATTGAAATTAAAGCAAGGCTTCCCCTCCTGGCCTCCTTGGGGTCAGGCCCTGGCTGCCAGAATGAATCTGAGAGCAGAGAGATGAGAGGGAGACAGCCCTGCCTGTGGCATGGAAAGCAGGAATGACTTGGGTGTGTGGCTGTGAGTCACCAGAGCTCCCCCAGGTAGGGTGGCTGTGGCTGCCTCTGAGTGAAGGGAAAGGCTGGACCCTCTGAGCATGAAGGAAGCAAAGAAAGAAAATACAGGTGAGGAAAGGGAAGATGGGGATCTGGGAAGAAAACCTGCTGCTGGTTCTTGGTGCTCAAAGCACCCCCTTCCCCACCCTGCTGGATGCTGTGCAGGCAGTGAGTGTCCTCTCAGTCTCTGAGAACTTAGGAGCTGAGTAAAAGGTGTTTGTGGGATGGAGAAGAGCAGCATTGTGGTTCTGAGACTGGCTGGGAGTATTAGGAGTCCTCTCCTGGTTCTGCTACAACCTCCACACAGAGGGTTTTGGATGGGGATTTTGTGGCTCCTGTGTTTTCCACCTCCTTTCACTGTCTGAAGAATGAGAACCAGGGATGCCTTTCCCTGGGTTTGGGGTGTGCAGACAGTGCTGATCAGCCAGCTCAGGGATCGCTCTGGGAGACAGGGACTGGCAGGTGACAGGACAGCTGAGAGGGGAAGCAGGAGAGGTTGGTTAGGCAGCCAGAAAGCTGTGGCACGGGGGGTTAGATCCTCTGGAACTGAAGTGGGAATTACCCGTACCAAGTGTTTCCTCAGTTGCTTGGAAGGAGGAAAATTCCCATGATCGTGGGTTGAAATTGGCTGTAAAACAAGAGCATCCAGTTCAGCAGTTGGCTCCTGGTGAGCTGGCTCAAAGGCCTGGCATTGCTCTAGGAAATAGTCCCAACCAATCTGGGAGCAACCCCAGACCAGAAATCTGGGTCCAGGGAGCAGAGGAAAGCCTGGTCTTTTTTCCCTGGATTCTAGGGAATGGTGAATAGACTTCTCATGTAGAGAACAAAGCTCTCCCTGCCACAGAGCTGCCTTGAGCTGCAGAAAATCGCCAGCTCAGGTTTGTCTACTCAACAGGACTGTTCTGCAGAGGGATCTGTGTGCAGAGCTTGGATTTAGAGCTCGGGAGACACAAGGGGAGGAACATTTCCTGTAGGAGCACAGGCTGGCTCAGCACTGGGACAGACAGGTGCTCCAGGGCTTCCCCAGGACCTCACCCTGGGGCTGTTGTGCCCCTTTTGTGAGGCACTGGGCTCCCAGTAAAGCAAACCCAAGCTGAACACTTGGAGCTGCTATGCTGCCATCCTGTGGGCTGCTGCTCTGCTTAAGCCCTGTTTCTATTTACACTTCTCTCTCCCTCTCTGTGTGTTGCCTGAGTCCCTCCTACTCTTCACTCAAAGACTTCCAAAGGCACAAGATGATCTTTCCAACCTCCTCCTGGCTTTGGCCAAACTGTTTGCAGCATCAGGAGAAGAAAGCTTAGTGGGAGAGGACAGAAAGGAGCATGGAGCAGTTGAAAAAAAAAATTGTTCCTCTATCTTTTGAAATATTTTATGTCTCCCCTCTGCCTCATTATGTCATCCCTGCAGGCAAATGTTTTATGCTGGAATTACAGAATGGTTTGGGTTGTAAGGGATTTTAAAAATGATCCAGTTTCACCCCCTGCCACGGGCAGGGACACTTTCCACCAGATCAGGTGGCTCCAAGCTCCCTCCAACTTGGCCTTGGACACTTCCAGGGCTGGGCAACCTGTGCCAGGGCCTTACCACCCTCTGAAGAAAGAATTTCTTCCTAATATCTAATCTCCACCTCCTCTCAGTTTGAAACCATTATTTATCATACTCTCTTTAAGGACAAGAGTAGTGGAAGTCTCCTTGAATTTAAGCAGGGCTTAAAACCTTATAGGCTCAGCTCAAATCCAAGCAGTTTCTTAGTTTAGGTTACTGCAATTAGCACAGAGCACTACTTGGGCAGCATTCTTCAACCCAGAAAACACTTTCCACTGTGGCCTCAAGCAGAGTTTGCAGTGACCCAAACCAAGCCAGAAAAAGGGGTGTGTTCCTAAACTCCCATGAGATCCTCCAGGATTCTGGGCACATGACACAATGCAAAGGGTGGTCCTCTTTTTCCCCACCCTCCATTTTACAGAATTCCTTAGAAAAGATGCAATCAACTGTGGTGCCAGACTTGGACATGACACATGGAGAGAGCACAGAGAGCTCCAGAGAGTTAAATGGTTATGGCTATGTTGCATTATTCATCAGGTAATCCTGGGCCAGCCACCGTGCCAGATAAGTGGGTCACATCTCCTGCTTTGCCTACTGACTCATTCTGTTCCCAAATTCCCCATCAGTGTGGCTTCAGCAGCTGGATCCTTTCTGTCCTGCTGGAGCCCTGACCCTGCTGGAGAACCCAGTGCAACCACGTGCTTTAGTTGTTTTGGACAACAAAGTGACTTTGTTGGTGGAAAACAGGGAATGGGTAATTTGGAAGGCAGCACAGGCTGTGCTCTCAGCTGTGTAGGTGGAATAAATGTTTCTCCAGTGTTTGTGGGGCCACTGAGCTGCACATTGTTGTACAGCCCTCCCAGTGCTCAGGGCAGACACCACTAAAGGAGGAACCCTGGATTTAGCAGTGCCTGGTGATCCCTCCTGGCACTTCAGGAGGTTGGGATGCTGGATCCCAGCAGGCAGCCAGGGAGCTTCTACTCCCAGGTGTCTGCAGCTGATCCTCCAGGGAGGAGCAGAGGGAAGTTCAGGCACTACAGTGCTGTGGCACTGCCAAAAATGGCTTTTCCCTTCCTTTTGCCATGTCCCAGACACACGTGGCAGCAGTGACAGCAGGATGACATTGTTCCTCCCATCCACACTCCTCAAATGCCTGTGGGGCTGTTTCCACCTGAACTCAAAGCTTCCCTTCTTGGGTAGAGATTGGGTTCAGCTCGTGCAATTTTAGAATTAACTTTCAAACTTCCCTCCAGGCTGGAAAGTTTTGGGGTGCAGGGCTGAGCCTGTGGTCTCTCCCCAGCATCATCAGCTCTGCTCAGCAGGACACGTCCTCCCCTGACTGCACAGGGCCTGCAGAGCCCTGGGACAGCTGGGGCAGCAGAGCAGCACCAACCATCTGGGAGGTGTTTGGAGACAGGCTCCATGCAAAACCAACCTCTGGCAAGATACCCCTCTGCCCCCTGATTCCCCCTGCTGAAGTCTGGGAATGCCAGCCCTGCCCCTGGCATCTGCTCCAAACAACCTCCTCACCCCCTGGGCGCCAGGCAGGGCTGCCAGAGCTGCCAGGCGTGGGCAGGGAGCTGAGGAGAAGGGCAAAGGGGAGCTCCAGACAAAGGGCTCAGTGTTGGGATCTGGGTTGTCCCCAGGAAACCCCAAGGCAGAGCAGGAATACACCCCCAGGACAGTGCCACTGCTAATTGCTGGCACATCCCTGCCCACCATCTGGCTGGAAGCATCTGGCAAACCCTGGCAGGGCTGAAATTTGGTCACTTATTTTGTGCTACTCCTCCTGCCCTTTTGTTTCCTACAGGCAGTGCCTTTCAGCACCCTCAGCTCCTCACTCTGGAGGCTCCTGATGCTCATTTAGAAATGGCAACTGTCCTTTTGGAACTGGATGTGCTGAAAACCCTCATCCCCTCTGAAGGCTCATCCTGTAGTGGGTCATGCAACAACTGGGACATGAGCAAATCATCAGGGCTGTTGTTGGCAGAGCTCAGAAAGGAACTCCAGCCTCCTGCTTTTTTTTTTTAGGACATGTTTCTCACTTCTTCTGTCCTTTTCCTGTAAGGAAAAAGCATGTTTGCTGGTGAAAGTCAAATCCTAATGCAGAGCAAGCCTAGAGCAGCTTTCACACTCGATGGCACAGTGAGATAAGCTTTGGGTGGAGAATAGCACTGACTTTAACCCAGTGAGACATCTTAAAACTATACATTCACAAACTACACTCTTCGAAGTCACTCCAGCTCTTTTTCTGCCCTGTTTGAGACAAAAAGGCAAAACCTTCTCAGAGCTCTGTAAGCTGGAGAGAAGATTCGGCATAAACGCGCAGAGGGATGGAGGAAAAGCAAATTTTGGGACACGTTATCAGTGAGGTTCCTTTCCTAAGCTGTGTTTAGAGGAAGCCTTGACCACCTGTAGGGTGCCATACCTTTGGGAGACAGGAACATGGAAAACCTCTTCAAGTTGTCAGGCTGGTTCCACTCGTAGTTGTTCATCATGAACCGATGGTCACCTGGAGGAGCAGAGCAGAGAGGGGGGAGTTTAGTGGCCCTGAGAGGGAGGGGAGGAGGGGGAAGGGGAAAACAGGGTGGGATTGCTTCCTCAAGCACTGCAGAAGTGATTCTGCTCTTTGAAAACAAGTTTCTCTGTTTTTCTCATTGACTGGGAGCCAAAGCAGTGCTGTGGCTGCCCAGGGTCTAAACCAGGAGGTTCCCTTGGCACAGCCCAGCTGAAGCATTTGGCCACTCTGGAGCTGCCCTATCTCCTAAAAAACATAGGGAGGTTTGAGGCTTGTGGCATTTTCCTACCAAAACGCTGCTGTGGGGCTAAAGATGTCCCCCACTTCAAAAGCAAAGTGGTTTGGGCTTGGCTCCTTTGGTGTTTAACCTGAGCACAGGCCTGGCTTTCAACCCCCTGCTCGAGAACTGCCACTATTGGAAGCTCCAGAAAATCAGCGCTGGGAGGGCTCAATGGCTCCTTCAGTTTTTGGAGAAAGGTGTTAAAATAAAGTAGCAAACAGCTCTAGACTCTTGGACAGGGGTGGTTGGTTCAGGCCTCATGCAAAGTGGATGAAATCTGCTCTTTTGGCAGCTCTTTCACAGCCTGGGTTTGGTTTTCTGACAGTGATCCACAGGAAATGATGTTTTATCACTACACTTGCTCATAAAAATGCTTTCTTTGAAGGCCTATTGTTCTCTGCAAGGAAGTAAATTGGTTCCCGTGTTTAAATAGTTCCATTCTTTGATTCTTAAGTCACTGAACAAACTTTTCTTTTATTTCTCCAATTTATTTCTGTGTTATTTAAACTCCCTGGATGCTCCCTGATTATTTGTCTCCTTGCCACTCTGCTACGTAGGTACCTGTTATGACAACTAAAAGAAAGTGGATTCCCTTTGGAGTCTGCTATTAAGCAGGTTTCATTCCATTAATATAATATTTCTTCCTGGGAAGGTTTTTACACCAGAACATCAAGCCAGTAGCAAATGAATTTGTTGCAATGACTCAGGGGGAGTCCGAGTTAATTAAATCCATTAAGTAATTGTGGAGCTATTTCCTTGCAGTCACTGGATGCAGAGTGCTGCCCTCTTTCATCTGTAACTGTAGTTTGGAAAAGGGAGAGCTCTGAAGTTCCTGAGACTCACCTTAAATAACATTTCCCAACTGAGTGGATACCACTGTTCTTTTCATTAGGCAGACTCCAAGCTGTGTCCATTAAATCCCTGCTAAAGCCTCTGGAAGTACCCAGGTTTCTGGCAGCATTTAGTTGCCCTGCTCAGAAATGTTCTGGCACTTGAATTCCACGGATTTCAAGTACCAGTGAGGGCTTCTGGCATCAGTAAAAGGAGGAGACCCCAATTAAAAGTGATCAAGTATCAAGGAATAGTCAGTCTTTGTCCTCAGCTACCAGAACTGAACATGGGCATAATCTTGTTGGGTTGCACAAGTGGCCAAGCAAAAATGTCTTTGCCTCAGGGCTGGCAAAAAGCAGCTCAGCAGGTGGAATTTCTGCAAAGTTTTGGGTGAAAAAAAAGAAGGAAGAACAATGTACAGAAGTGATTTTTGGATCTGAGCTGATTGTCATCTCCTTGTATTCAGTTACAGCCACATTTCTCAGCATGAGGAGTATTGAGGATCTAACCAGGACTGCTGCAGCCTTAACTGCTGAAAGGTAAATAATGTTCAATTCCTGGCTCTGCTTTAAGGGCAGGGGGAGTTTTAAAACCTGAGTGTGCATCATGAGCACTTGGTGTGTGGTCTCTGACTTTTCTGCAAGGTTGGTTCTCTGTTCCAGAAGTATCTGGTCCATCTAATTCATGTCTCATGGAGGATGGTGGCACTAGACAGTGTAGTGTATTAATTCAGGAGCAGTGTAAGTGCTGTGAGCTCGAATGAATTAACAGGAATCTTGCAGGTTTGCAGCAGATTTGGATGAACTGGACTTGAGGTTATTCCTGCATCTTTTTGAGCCACACACCCTCCTGAAGAGCAGGGTACAATTTATCCTCCCGTTACATATCCAGCTTCTTGACCTTTATTGTTCTGGTATCTGGGGTTCCTCAATTACTAATAGATTATATCCTCCAGCAGGCTGGTGAGATAACTGTTAATTCCCATCCCTGTTATTCTTAGGGCAAGAGGTCATTTCATGGGATTAAGTAACATGCCCAAGGTCACAAAGGCTGTTTGTGGGAAGTGAACCTTGGTTGCTCAGCCCCATTGCAGTGCCCTAATCTTAGTCCTCCTAATCTTAGGTGTGAGCTTGATGCAAGATAAATCCTTTATTCAGAGCTAATTGGGAGCCACTGAAAGGAAGTGGGTTAGAACCTTAGAAGAGTCACTGCAGTGCTGGGATAATGACCATTTATTCACCTGAGGAACATCAGCTGTCCTCAGGAATCACTGAGGTGTGGGGACCACTTGGCCCCGTGTGTCCCTTGAACCCCCTGGATCAGGGCAGGCAGGAAAGCTCTACCAGGTGGATCAGAGGGAGTTTTATCCCAGTTCAAGCTGTAGCTTAACTGAACACCAAAATGGAGATCTTTCCACTTGGAAAATCACACTTTCAAGTACTAGATTTCCAGTGGCAGGGGCTGGCAGGAGCATTTCATGGCAGGCAACTGGAATGGGCAGTTGTAAAACTTCCCATCACACCAGCACCCTGCACGTGCTGACCCAGCTGCACAAAGAGGGTTTCAGAACTGCCCTCCTGAGGTGGGGTTTCATTCACCTTCCTGCCTTCTCCACTGCCCTCAGTGAGCACTGAGTTGTCTCAGTGGATGTGTGGAATCCTCCAGGTAGAAACTGTGGTGCTAAAACTGGAAGGGCTTGTTGGGGGCCTGGCACGAGGCAGAGCGTCCCTCTTGCAGGAGGGGAGGGTCACTGTTCACGACCCCCAAAAAGAAATCTTGCTCTCAAGTGCCACACAGGAGGTGGCTGAACCCTTAAATAGTGTGAAGCCATAACATCCAACAGCAGTCAGGGAAGGGGGGCTGGTTTGGATGCCTTGACACTTTAAATTCAACTGGCTCCATCCCCGCATAGGTGTGGTGGGATAACTCTGATATTCCAGAAAGAATTCCAGCTACAGGCAGTGTTCCTCCCGCTGTTTTTCCTACTTTCTCCACTGTGCAGAGCGTGTTCAGCACACTTCATCTCCCCTGGGTTTGGGAGGGAAGGAGGAAGGGGGGATTTTTGGGCTGTTTTACCGTTCTCCATGTGGTTCCTCTCGATGAAGTTGCGGCCCAGGTCTGCCTTGCAGATCTTCTCCACGTGCCTCATGCAGACGTTGAGCAGGTCATCCCTGAGGAGCCCCATGGATGGGCTCATGCTCTCCCCTTCCAGCAGCACACTGTAGGTTGGGAGAGAGGGAGGGGGCACGTAATTCCTCATCAGAGCCCCAAATTCCTGCCAAAAGAAAAAAGAAAGGCGCAGAGGTTACTGAGGAACGTGAGAGCTGGAGGGTAGATCCCAGGGAACTGGCTAATCTTAGGCTCCAATAGTATGAGAGCTGAAGATGGAGGGGGCAGGCAAATGCTCTGTCCATGAGTTGTAGCCATCTGTAAACAAACCTGCATGTCTGAGTCCATCCTTCACCTCCCAGAGCAGAAACAGCTCCAAACATGAAGTTCCTGACTTAGGTGTGCATTGAACTGGAGAAGGTGAACACGTGTTAAACTCACTTGGGATTTGTCCTTAGGGCAAATCCTGTCTTCCGTGGGAAAAGAGAAAATTACAGTGAAGTCTCAGTTACCTGCAGGAAGAGCACAGAATCACTGATCTGGTGGATCTGCTCCCTGTTCTCCTTGTCCTCCCGCAGCAGCTTTGCCCTCTCCTCCAGCTCATCCACGATTTCTTTCACGTTCTCTGATGCAATCTTTTCCCTCTGGTCCAGGGCAGCCTTCACCTCATCCCTCTGCCTCTCCAGGTCACGGATCAGCTCCTTGAAATGCTGGTCCACCGTGGCTTTCTCGTTGGTGGTGTAATTCTGAGGGGGAGTTCAGGGAGAGGAGGAGCAGCAAAGACACAGGAGAAAGAAAATATTCAGCTTTCCAAGGAATAACTTTGCTAACAGAGGGACACAGAGGGGGATATGTCCAAGGACTCTCAGCATTTAGACTGTGGAGACTCCAGGTAGGCAAGTTTCAGCACGAGAGAAGTTGTGCCAAGAGAAGTAATAGTTGTTCCTGCAATGATTTTGTGTATGTAATCCAAAGGGCATGATGTCTTCCTCACTGTTAGAGCAGATCTTTTATTCCAATTCATAAACTGCACGCTTAGGTGATATTTAAAAACACTGTTTAACCTTCTAAGTCATGGTTCTGGCTCCTCAACAATTTGAACATCAAATTCCTCCCATTTCAAAGGATGAAAAGTGCTGAAACACTTTTTACAAACCTGACCTCGAGGTCCCTCTGAAACATTCCTCAGAAAGACTGTGGATGTAACTATGTTCAGAGTTAAAATTTCTAGGTCAGGTTTCCAATAATAATAATAATAATAATAGTAGTAATAATAATAATAAAGCAGATGAAAAGCAGAACTGGTGAGCCAGTGTGTGTGCACCACATGAAAGGGAGAAGAATGGCTTTGTCTATTAATATTATGCAAATTTTCTGGGGCGTCTCCAAATAGTGTTTTCCCTGCTCTATTCAGTTAGAGTATAAATGACAAAAAAATAATACCATTGCTGTATTCCAACCCCTACCATGGTGAAAGAATTATAAAAGAGCCTTATATCAGTATGGAAATGAGCTGTTCCACTATAAATAAGATGTTTGTTGGGGGAAGTGCTGCCTTATCTCAGTTTGGGTTACCCAGAGCCCTTCTGCAGGTTATTTCTGTGTGTGGTCTGGTGGGAAGAGGAGCACAACACCTTTGTTTCCGACTCTGCCTGGCTGCTGGGGGTTGAAGAACCATCAGGCCCCCAGAGCAGGGAGGTGCCTGGGGTGGTTTTGTAACAAGGCTGTGCTGCCTCTCCTTGATCTCCCCCAGGACTTGTCACAGGGTGGCTTCAGCAGCAGTTCTGTTGCCAAGGTTTGGCAGGACTGAGCTTGGCAGAGCGAAGGGTGAGGGATGGAGTGAGTCAGAGCTGGAGGTGGCAGGGAGATTGAGGAAAGGAGGATGTGGGAGAGTGGAAAAGAAAGCTATAAGTGACCTTAACATCTCACACACACCTTGATCCGGTCCCTCTCCTTCTGCCACTTGTCCACTTCATCCTCCACCTCGATGATCTTCAGCTGCAGCTGCTCCTTCTGCAGCGAGAGCTCGGCCTGGGAGAGAGGGGAAGGGAAGGAGGGAGTCTCATGAGCTGGGGCTGAGGGTGGCCCACTTCAAAGCAGCTCAGTGCTCCCACTGGCCCCGAGCAGGGATGGCCAGAGGCACAGGCTGCTGGCACTGCTTGAAATGGAGATCATGTGCTGCCACTGGACAGCATCCCAGAGCTGCTGCCTGGCTCAGGAGATCCAGCTCGCTCAGCAGCAGCGCCCACCTACCACCGTGCCTCTTTTAATCACATGAGAGGCAGGAGCTGGAGGGGGAAGAGGCCCTGTTTCAAAATTCAGCTGTGTGTGCAGGGCAGGGCCCGTCCCAGGGTGTGCCTCTGCAGCAATAACAGTTTCCAGCTAATTACGGAATGACGTTGGACGAGTGTTGCAACAGGAGGATGATGCCTCCGGCAGGAATTCTGTTTGGACAGGATTGTGGATTAATTTGCTCTGAATTGAGAGCTTTCATGTTATGATGAAGCTGGGGAATGCTTGGAAAAAATAAAAAAAAAAAAAAGAAAAAAAAGAAAAGAAAGAACACAAAAGGAGGAGGGAGGAGGTGTAGGAGGTGTAGTCAACCTGCTTGGCTTAGATCAGCAACTTCCCTGGGGTTCATTTGCATTTGGTTGTGCACTGGCTTCCCAGAGAAGCTGAGAGCAGACACTGGCAGGGCAGCCCATGGAACTGGAGCTGAGGGATGAGCCAGGGCTGGGCTATCAGGGATGCCCAGGGCCAGGCTGTCAGGGCCAGGCTATCAGGAATTCCCAGGACCAGGCTGTCAGGGATGCCCAGGGCCAGGCTGTCAGGGATGCCCAGGGCCAGGCTGTCGGGGCCAGGCTGTCAGGGATGCCCTGTGCCGTTAACTCCGGGCAGCCCCTCCCTGGGCCCTTCACAGTCAGCACCTCCCTGCCCAGCACATCATGACAAAGCCTTTGCTGACGCATCCCAAGGTGTTCCCGTGTCTCATGTGTGCACAGCTATGACCACAGGCAATCTGGCTGTGGGACACTCACCCCAGAGCTCTTGAGGAACTACCCAGTTGGCAGAAATGACCCATGTTCTGCAGCTGGGCTGTGTTGGGCCACAAGAGTCCTGCAAACCTGCTGGTCCTGTGGCAAATGGTTGCATGACCCAAAACCACTCACATTGAGAACAGCAATTAGAGGCAGGGATAAATCTGCTCCCACACGACTCGCCCAGCTGTCCAGAACAGAACGTGAAAATCTGGGTCTTTACTGATCACAGTCACCCTCAGAGTGGGAGCTGAAAACGTTCCAATTCTCCATTCAGGATGGAGAGCAGGCAAGGAGCTGTCAAGCAGCCCAGAGCAGGAGACCAGCCCATCAGGGCTCCTGTCCTGGTGCCAGTCCCAAGAGAGTCTGAACATCCCCTCGAGCTGGAATCAGGCACAGCTGCCTCGGAGAGCCGTGGACTCTCGCTGCTCCAATTTAGGGAATCTCCATTTATAGAGGGAAAGCAGTTCCACAGTTGCTTTGTTGCCTTGTAAAACACAAGAAAAGGGGGAACCAAAAAGGGAAATGCACTCAGAATTGTCTCAGGGCCAGAGAAGCTGCATCCTCACACTGTCACTGTCCTTGTTGTTGGGAGTTAGGAAAGCACCAGCTCTCTAAATATGATCCAACACCCTGACAGCCTTCAGGAGTGAACTGAATGAAGTCATGAGCTGAATCTCATCTTTTTCAGGGTACAAATGAAAGGGTTTTGTGGTACAGGTTCATCAGGCAACCACATAGGCTTCAAGATGAGAAAATTTTCTCTATTACTGATCAAAAGTGTAAAGACTTGAGTTTGATCCAATAGTTTTCACATTTCCAAGACTGTGATTTGGAGGAATCCATGATTTTTTCATGTGAGAATGTCCTCTGCATCAAGACTCTTTGCACAGCAGGAAAATCCAATGAGATAAAAACATTTTAGATCATTTTTTTCCACTGCACTGCATTAACCAATGTGAGAAATCACACCAAAATGCAAGTTGTGTCCTGGAGCCACAGAGCTACATGTAGATGGTATTAATTGTTAGCAAAGCAGTTAAAAAGGCACATCTCCTGAGCAATTATTTCCCTCCTCATCCCTAAATATCAGGATATTCTTATGGCAAGGATGTAAGTGAAATCATACAGAGAAGGACTGGAGGGATTTTTTGGAGGAGAGGAGACCTTTCACAGCCACACAGACACTCCCAAACACAAGGGATTTGAAAAGAAAGATAACAGGAGAAAAAAAAAAAAGTCAGGTGATGGCTGGAAGGTGATGATAACAACATGATACATTTATAGTCCTTTTTAATTAAGATGGGTCTCCAAGGAATTCTGGAAACTATTACTTGCTCAAAAGTGATACTGAGCTCGTTGCAGTTGTAACATCCCTTTGCCCAGAAAGATAGTTTGGGTGCCTCTGGGATGGGATGTAACAACTATTTAAGGGCAGACCCACACAACAATTTAGAGTGAGAGATTTATGACTTGCAAATGGAAATTACAGAGATAGTTCCAATAGCCAGAATGCAAATACCACACTCATCCAGGTTTGGCAGGGGTTAAAACATCCCTCCTGATGGCAAAAGGAAACACCAGCACAGACACCAGCAAGGGCAGGGGAGGTGAAGGGAGGTGTGGTTGTGTGATAACTACAAACATTAAAAAATACAACCAAAAAAAACCCCCCAAATCATAGAAAGAAGTGTTCAAAGGAGGTCCAGGGAGACTCTGGAATAGTGCAAGAACTGGTGACATGGGCATAAGGATTCATAAGGGTGCTCTGGAGATGGACCACATTGTGATTGCATGATGTTTTTAAGATTCTGTTCAGTCTGTGATTGGCTGACAGGCTGGTTTAGCTGTCAAATATATCACATATATATATATATATAATTATAGGTACTAGGGACAGTCACTTCATCCCCTATGAGGAAACTTCTCTCCCAGCTTTCTTTGTATTTCTCAGATTTTCCAGGGTGCACAAACCCTGATTCTCTTGTGATGGACCATCCAGAACAGATCCATTGGGTGAGACTGGGGTTCAGAATATCCCAGTGACAGATAACATAGAAACACCACCCACTGCAGAGAGAGTCCCTGCAGTGCAGAAATAACAGTGACAGTGAAGAAGATCTAGGAAATCCAGGTTTAGACCATTCAGTTTGAGTAGAGCAAGTTGAGAAATGATGGCACTGAGAGTCCTTGAGCTAAGATTGGATCCCCTATTAGAGTCTAAGTTAATTAGGCCAGCCAAGAGGCCTAAGTGAAAGTTCAGAGTGTACACCTAAACATCCACAACTGAACCCAGCCCTGGTGCTGTGGAGAGGACCTGGAGATGTGAGATTATGAGTCTTGCATCATGATGCAACTCGTTTTTGCAAGGCAGCAGTACAAGCATCATCATGCCCTTAATGCTCTGGGAACCCAGGGCCTGAATCAGGGAACACCCCTGTGTCACCAGCCTGGGAGAGCTGTGCTAATTACTGCCAGCAACATCCCAACCCACTAATGAAGCTGGAGAAGGGCTGTTCAAACGAGTTGTCCCAGTGCAGGGCCAGGAGTGGAGGTGACACGGCTGAGAAGGCAGGAATTTGTTTGAGATATCAGTTCTGCTGGTTTTACAACTGCATGTTCTCCTCAGTGGGCTAAAATCTCTGGAGCCTCTGGCAGCATCCTGCAAAAATGCCACTGTGGGAGCAGAGGCCAGAAAAGGCTCTCTGCACAGTTTGAAGAGAATTCCTGACTTGCAAACTGGTGGATTTTCCCTGGATTCTACCCTCACTGTTAGAGGCATCAATGCAGGAAGCAGGCAAACAGGCAAATCTACTCAAATCCCAGTTTGCAGCAGGTCACTTTCCCAGCTTTCCAACAAGGAAGAGCATCCTGCAGTGACTGCACCACGTCAGGGGAAGGAGCATCTCTGTTGAGCTGCATGACCCTCAACTGCTGTGGATAAGGTCTCACAGCCACACTGCATCAGTGGAATGCTGACATTCCATGTTGATCCCATAATATTCCATGACACTGCCATACTGATACACTCCTGTTTGCTCTCTGGTCAGTGAAAGAAAGACAGGGAGGATGGAAATCCCTCTGGATCCATCCCTGGGGATGGTTGACTTCAAAGCCTGGTTCAACCTCTGTGAAGTCCCTTTTAAAAGCAGCTTCCTGGAGACCAGGAACACCCAGATCCCATTCCTGCACAGCAGTTCCCTGCACCTGAGGGACAATGTGAACCTTTCTTCAGAGGTAAAGACTCAAAGGAAAAAAAAAAAGAAAAATGAAATCAAAGTACCTCTCAGCAGAGCTGACCTGCCCTGCTGAGCACCAGGGCTGGTGCTGGGAGGTGATGCCAGGGGATTCACTGCCAGGTTATTCAGCTCTGGCACTGGCAGGCAGAGGTGAAGTTGTCTCGTTTTTGGGAACAGGCCTGTGAAACAGGTTTGGAATGAAGGATCCCCTTTCAAAATGAAGGATGCTGTCTGCAAGGGGGGCTCTGGTTCTGCTGATAAATCAAGCTGGCCACGGGGTTTTATTCCAGTGTACAAGCTGCTGCAGACAATTCTCACTTCTCAAGCATTGAGTGGTTATTCCCCGGCCTCACAGACTTTTCCTTGGCTGTTTCTTGCACTGATTCTGGTGCAGGGGTTCCTTTTCCTTTAAATCTGTAGCAGGAAACTAATGCAAAGTGGATCTGGGGAAGGCATTAAAGGTTTGTTGGGTAAAATAAGCAAATAGCACTGGGTGGAAACTCAGAGCAAATGGCTCTGTCTGAGTCCCTGTGCCTTTCCCTGGTGTAAAAGGAAGAGGGGGGTGAGTGACTCTCACCCCAGGCTCCTGAAAAGTGGAAGATGCTGCTGTGTTCTCTGTCTGAGACAGAGATATCAGCCTTTCCACTGCTTGCTAAATGCTCTAAGTAGTAGGTGTGTGTCTACTGGCTTGTTTGCATTCCTCTCCTCTTAAGCTCTGTCTGCACCATGAAGCAAGCAGAGTTTCCTAATTCTACAGCAGGATCTTTCCCAACACTGAAGCACAGCATCTCTGTGGGTCTGTAGCAGACAGACCCATGGAAGAGGCTGAATTCTGCACTAATTCTGCAGTGCAGAAGGACAGATGTGCCTGAACCACCTGATTATGGGACAGTTCTCTGCCACCAAATTTCTGAGCACCCAGAGTGACAGTGCAGCACCACATAGAAACACCAGTTCTCCTGGAATCCTCTCCAGTTTTGGAGTCACAGAATAGCCAGGGACTAGGGAATCCTTGCAGGTGAACCAGTTAATCCTCGACATCCAGCACTGTGTGAAAGGGTCTCTCTGTATTCCAGTCACCAGCCCCAGTGGCACAGTCAGCAAATTTGGAGGTAGCAAAGCTCCCCTGGAGCTGCTTGGATTCCAAGCTGTGAAAATGGGGCAGGGATAGGGATGACCTGCTGTGGGGTTTTTGCTTATCCCTTCCACAAAGGCCCTCAGCACCAGCCACTCTCCCAATTTGTGGTCACATTCCAGCTGTGATTTGCAAGGCTTGATAAGGGTAGGTGGTACACACAAAGGGTTGGAAATGTTCATTCCTCTTTGTGGTTCTTGCTAAGGCTCCACCTATGGTGAATAAATCAGGGCTTAGGAATAAACATTTGTAAGCAACAGCTCTTCTGTTAATTGTTTTTGTCTGAGTGAATACTCGCTCAAGTTACAACAGGACCGAACTCGTTGTCAGGAGAAACTTGCACATGTGTGTGATTCATATTGATAAAGCCCTAAATCCTTCAGGCTTAGCAGCAGCAGGATCAGCACAGGACAGTGCAGGAACTAAAGCATGGAGCTCATGAGTGGCACAAGGACTCCAAGGACTCTGAGAGAGAAATCAAACCTCATTTAAATCATAGGTAAGGTCTTCTCTGCTCAGCTACGGTTCCCTCTTTAAAAGCAAGGTGCTGTCGATCCATCCAGCCACAGGAAGAAGATCTGGCTGGCTTTGCTTCCTCAGGAAGCAACTGTTAAGCTCATTCCAGCAGAAACAGCTCAGAGGGATCGGACACCCTGGCAGACACCAGACACGGCTTCATGTTAGAACCGTGAGATGTTCAGAGCTGACATCAAAACCACAAGAAGCAGCAATTATGGAACAAACAGCAGGCTGGCAAGCCCTGCAGGGATTGAAGAAAGGCTGGCTGGGGCATGGGAGAAGCTTTGTCTGGTTTCAGCAAAGCTGCAGGTTGGAGATGACATGGCAAGGACAGACCAAACAGGAGACAGAGATAAGCTCCACATGAGATGCTCTTTCAGCCTTATGAGATAAATCTTCCCAACTCCTTAGAAAGAGTTCAACTGGTCTTCCCATTAAGGATTTCTAACAGCAGGTACTTGTGTTTGCCTGTTCCCCACATCAGAGCACTGGCTTGGGCTGTGCCTAAGAATAGGATTGAGCAGGTCTGAGTTCCCTTCCAGTGTCTGCCACTGTGGGACTCCAGGCAAATGGTTTTCCATTATCATGTCCTGGGTGTCCTTTCTGCCACCTCTCCTGCCCTGTCTGCTTGGAAGGTTTCTAGGCCAGGACATGCTTTTACCATCAGTGAACGTGGTGAGACCCTGAGCTTGTGGAATAATCATCACCCACCCAGAAAACAAACAGCACGAGGCTTTGAGCAAACAGAGGTGAAAAGCATTTCATCAATGAGCACTGTCCCACATCTCCTTAGATGTCCATCCTCTAAACCCATTGTAGCAGCACTCCAGGGGAAATGATCATGTTTTGTGCTTGCACCAGGGTTTTTTCTTCATCTAAGCTTCAAAAGCCTCTTCCCACAGGTGTAGCCCGACATTATTCATTATTATATCCGTAACAGATAAGTAAAAGAACCATAATCTCACTCTAAGGAGCTGAGATGGCAATTTTCAACAGTCACCCAGTACCCACCAGTAACTTTAGCAGTCTCTGATCTGACCACCTGTATTCTGGAGGAACCTGATGCCCACCTTTCTGTGCACAAACACTGTCAGAACTCCAGACTGGGTTTTTCTAGGGCTTTGATTCAGCTTCTGCTTAAAGTCAGGTGTGCAACCAGGGGTGGAAACCATGTTCTCCATCCCCCAAATCAAATCTGCAACACACCACCAGCGTTGTGCTGCTGCAACCAGCCATCAGGAGGACAACAGTCCCATCACAGCAGCACCCAGGCAATAGCAGTCCTCTGCTAAACACTTCCCATCCACCACCCCTGCATCCCAGGATTCCACACAGACATGACCTGAGCAGAGATTGCAGGCTGGGGAGCAAAGGCTGGGGTGTCACATCGAGATCTACAGAGCGACGGGAGCACGAAACAAAGAGAGAATTAATTACCTCTTTCCCTGCTTTCTCGATCTCCACTGTCACTGTGCTGTGGTTCTTGTGCTCTTGGAACATGCAGAGGTAGCAGATGCACATCTGGTCTGTCTGACAGAACAGCTCCATGGTCTTCCCATGCACAGGGCATTTTCTTGCTTCGAAGTCCCTGATGGGGTCCAGGAGCTGGTGGTCCCGGAAAGCTGCTCCCTCCAGGTGGGGCTTGAGGTGCAGCTCACAGAAGGAAGCCTGGCACACCAGGCAGGACTTCACAGCCTTTTGCTTGTTGTCAATGCAGGAGTCGCACAGAACATCCTCGAGCTTCACCCTGGGCCGTGACCCAGCTGCTCTGTCCGGCTTGTTGAAGGGTCTTCTCAGGTCCCCCGTCTCCACCAGAGGCAGGGAAGATTTCTTCAGGTCCCCCATCTGCCCCCCAGAGAACAAGGACTTCCTCCCTTCCCCGTCGCTGGGCAGGAAGCTCTTTTTGGAATCCAAGGAGAAGAGGGACTTCCTGAGGTCGCCCTTCTCTGGGAAGGAGAGGGCTGGCCTCCTCATGTCTCCGATCTGTCCGCTGGCATACTGCATCTTCTTGGAGTCAGCCGAGTCCATGCTGAAGTAGGTTGACCTCTTCTCATCGGATGACTCCACAAACTGAATGATGGGCCTCTTCCAGTCACTCCCAGAGAAGAGGGAGCTCTTGATTTGCCCCGTCTCCAGCGCAGCACCGCCCGTGCCTTTTATAGCTTCTTTCTCACCCCCGCCAGGGCTCGTCGCCTTCTTCGCTTCTTCTTCTTTCTTTGGGGTGGTTGGGCTCTTCACATCCTCGGCCTTCCCGGCGGTCCCGTTGGTCCTCGCTGCGCTCCCCGTTTCCATGGTCTAAACAGGGCAAGTGGCTCCTGCGCTCGCTCGTTGTTCCTCCAGCTCCTGCCTCTCAGCCCCCTCCAAAGCGGGTTCCTCTGCCCTGTCTCAGCAGGGAATGGCTCTGGAATGCAGGAAACCTTCTGCCCGAATGACGCACCTGGAGCTCCCGGCGGGGAGGAGGAGGAGAACGCCTGGATTATGCCGGGGAGATGCAGGGGGGAAGAGAGGAGCAGACGTTGAGGGATCAGAAGCTACAGCTGTGCAAGTTAATTATACAAGGCAGTCCACACCCAGGAACATTCTTGTCTAACCAGGTTTGGGAGGAAGGGCTGTTTATATACATAGAAAATGCCTTTGTAAAAAAAAAAAATCATTTTCATTAAGATGTGGCAACCAGTCCGACCGCTTTGTTTCAAAAATAATTCTGCTCCCAGCTGCCAGGGGCTGAGGTTCCCTCCTCGCAGAGATGGGCAGGGGTGGAGAAGACCACGAGATGCCCAGGATGGGTTTGTTAACTGGGTCATCCACATGCACCAAAATAATTAGGGCTGTAATTAAAATGAACGCCCAGAAGAAAGCGTTCCTCAGCGGGGCTCCCCCGAGGGCTCACCGTGCTCAGCAGGACAGGGAGGGGAAATATGGTTAATGCTGGGTTTAAAAAAAAACCCCATTATCTTTATTTTGGGTTTGTGCAAGGCCCATCCACCTAGACCTGGAAATGGCCTGACTATCAGAACAACACAGCTGCCCTCAAGTGAAAATTGCCTGGTCCTGCTCTTCCCACAGGCCATGGAATATCCAAAATATGCCCAGTAAAACAAAACCTCCATTGTGTGTTCTGAGATAAGGGTTCAGGTGGATCCCGTGCAGCTCTTCCCATGAATGTCCGCTGAGCTCAGAGACACACCTGGAACACACCTGGAAGAGGAACTGTTTTGCAGCTACGTGGCCAAAATATTCCTTGCAGGGGGAAAAAAAAAAAAAAAAAAAAAAAAAAAACCTGGTAGTTTTAAAAAGTTTTAAAAGAAGTTTTAAAAATAGATGTGGCTCCGCTGGCTGTATTCCTGGGAAGTGTTCCCTTGTTGGAATCACAGATTTCAGGAGAAAAAGGCTCTTCTTCTCTTCAGGAGAAAAAGCACTGGTGAATTCCAGCAACTTCAAAAGGAGGAGGTTGATCTCGTATCACATAAATTCAGATTATACCCTGGATTTCAATGAGATTTCTCTGAGATTAATGTCCAGGGTGTAAATTAACCACGCCAAAGATTTGTGCTTAATTCAATTTTCACAGAAGGCAACGGCAGTGTTGCTGGAGAGTGTGATTTTTAGCTGTAATAATGTCTCATTAAATATCCATCATGAAACCCCTGTTGGAAGTGATTTAAGCAATGGAGGAAAAGTCCTGGTCTGCAGCTCTTTTTGAGGAAAAAGAGACAACCCAAAGCAGGACCAGGATACATTCTGGATCTGAGAGGAAGAGGAGAGAGCCAGCATGTGCCTGTCTTACAGATACAGTTTCCAAGGGCTTTGTTGTTTAAAAGGAGACAAAAGGAAAGTGATTTTTTTTTTTTTTGGCTCATAGATTTTTCTTGGCTTATAGATCCAGCCTCTCTTACTGCCTGTATGTCATTGTGGCTCTCTGTCCATGAGAAATGGCTCAGTACACAGGATTTTTTTGGATAATAGTTGTTGGGAAAGGCCACACCTTTTGCAGTGATTTCGAATGGACATTTTTTTATTAATAGGGCCACAGTCTTTCATGAGTCACCAGTAGGAAAGGGCAATGCTATTTTTTAGAAACCAATTTCATAAAAAGAAAAATTTGACTGACATACATGTATTTCTTCCCCCCTGGCTGTCTGGGCTGAGCTGTTCTTTATAACATCAACAGCCCTGCAGATCTCCAAGTAATTAAAAATACTGGAGGGTGGAGGTGCCTGTTCTCACGTGTACAGAGGAGACTCAGCAGAGCTTTTCCAGCCAGCATTTAATACCTAAGGAACAAAAAACATCTGTATGAAGAGGTCTAATGTGGAAGAAGGTGGCCTTGGTTTCTCTTGTTCTCCTGCTGCTTTGTTAAGATTTTGGGGAAGGTAAGGCAGGTAAAAAGTTAAGGGCTGAATTTTTAGACCTTGACACAAATGCAGAGTAAATCATAGAGTCACAGAATGCTTTGGGTTGGAAAGGACCTTAAAGACCATTTTGCTCCATGGGACACCTTCCACTATCCCAGGTTGCTCCAAGCCCTGTCCAACCTGCCCTTGGACACTTCCAGGGATGGGGAGTTCACAACCTGTGCCAGGGCCTCACCACTGGATCCTTGCAAATGGACTTCTTGAAAAAGAATATTTGCTCTTAGTCTGGGCTGAATCTGCAGGAAGGAAGGAAGGAAGGAAGGAAGGAAGGATGGCTGCCACGTGTGTCAGGAGCATTCCCTGCTGTCACCAGCCACCTCTGCATAATTCCACTTTCACTGGTCCCCTTTCAAGCTCAGCTCACCCACAGGCCTGGTCTTAGTGCCTTGGGCAGGTCCTGCTGGCAAATACCTGTGCAACCATGGCAGGGGCACGTGTGGCCTGAGAGAGGGCAGTGTCACCTCTGCTGCCACACACCCTGGCACTGCTGCTCTGCCAAGCCCATCTTTGCCCCATCATCTCTCCGTGCCTCATCGTGCCTTTTTCATGCCAAAAAAAATCCTTTGCAGGCAGGGCCCACCTCTCTCCTGCTGTTTCTGGCCTCTCCTGGGAAATGTATTGTCCACACCTGTCTGAAACTCGGGGTGCATGTGGTTGTCTTGGTGCCCAAAACCACTGCTGGGTAGTTCTGCCTGGGGGTCACAGGGGGAGAACTGGAGTTAAAGGACAGGTTTTTAGTTGAAGGGCAGTTTGTTAGCCAACTTGTGCTCCCGTTTAGAACATTTAGAATCACAGAATCACAGCATGGTTGGGGTTGGAAGGGACCTTAAAGCTCATCCTGTTCCACCCCCTGCCATGGGCAGGGACAACTTCCACTATCCCAGGTTGCTTCAACCTGTCCTTGGACACTTCCAGGGATGGGGCAGCCACAGCTTGTCAGGGCAACCTGTGCCAGGGCCTCCCCACCCTCCCAGGGAAGGATTTCTTCCATATCTCCAACCTCAATTTCCCCTCTTTCAGTCTGAAGCCATTCCCCCTTGTCCTGTCATTCCAGTCCCTCTCCAGTTTCCCTGTAGCACCTGGAAGGTGCTCCGAGGTCTCCACACAACCTCCTCTTCTCCAGCCCCATCCTGTCTCCACAGGGGAGGTGCTCCAGGCCCCTTTATCACCTTTGTGGCCTCCTCTGGACTTGCTCCAACAATTCCACATCCTCCTTATGTTGGGATCTGTGCACCCTGTTCCAGGGGAGGTCTCACACTCCGTGCACACACACACACGTTTTCCAGAGCAATTCAGGAGCCAAAGTCCAGCCCAGCCTGGATGTCTCTTTATCTTTGCACCTCCCAGAGGGTGGCTCCTGATTTCTCCAGCATGAGTTCACACTTGTATAAGTGATTTTTTGTGCTGGTTCTCCCCACATTCCCTGCACAGGACAACAGTCTCCTCTGCAGTGCTCTGTGTGATGGGCCCTGGCTGTGCCTGTGACTCAGAGCACACACCCACCCCTGGCATCTGCAGGGCCTTTCATCTCTACAAACTCACGGCAGCTTTTCAAAGGTTCACAAATTAAACTTGACAACACCTTTGCAAAATAGGTCTGGGTTGCTAAGCCCATGTGGCAATTAGGGAAACTGAGGCACGTACTGTGGAACCAACAGATTTTTCAGCAGAATGAGCTTTTTTTCCCCCCTGAAATGGCTGTTTTGTTCTCTTATTTTCCATCATTGTGACCCCTCTAAATCTTTTATTTTTTTTAATATTTAATAGCCTATGATGCTGGTGTTCTTGTTTTGAACATCATTTTTTTTTTCCATTGTAGCAGAAAGTTTGGATATTTGTTGCTTGTGCTGAAGTGGAATGTGCTGCACAAAAGTCTTTGTGGGCTGGTGCCTAAAAACCAAATCTCCCCAGGACAAAAAAGTGAAAAAATCGGGTCCATTTCCAACTAAGTAGAATAGAAACAGTTAAACCAACCCCAGGGCGCTCCTTTAGACAGGCTCCAGAGGAGAATTTCAAACACCAACGACTGATGAAGTCATGGAGAGTCACAGAGAATTAGCTCAACCAGCCCATGATTCACTGGCCCCAGTTCTCACAACAGCTCCGACCAAACTGGGAGCAGGGAACCTGTCTGCTAATTACCTGTGCTCTACCCACTAATCCACTCTGCTTTCACATCCTACATACCTTCAGCCCTTTCTCATTTCTTCCACCTTTGTACAAAATCAATGCACGGCCCAGGGGATGCGAGGCCGAGGTGCAGCTGGGCTGTTTCTGCTCCAGGAGAGCCCAGGAATCCGTGTGCCAGGCGTGTGGAGCCCACTGAGCAATGCCCAGGCATTGAGCAGCTCCCAGGGTGACAGCAGAGCTGGCAGAACGAGTTCAGGGCTCCCTGCTGCTCTCCCACAGATCACAGTCAGGCAGCAACACATGCAGGTGGATCAGTGGAGCTCTCCTGGCAGAGAGGGCACGGGGCAAACAACCCCACTGCTCTGGGTGTGCTTAGAGCAGCTCTGCACTCAGAGCTGGGATTTCATGGAATCAAGGAATGGGTTGGGTCAGAAGAGACCTTAAAGACCATCCTGTTCCACGCCTGCCATGGGCAGGGACACCTTCCACTAGCCCAGGTTGCTCCAACCTGGCTTTGGACACTTCCAGGGATCCAGGGGCAGCCACAGCTTGTCAGGGCAACCTGTGCCAGGGCCTCCCCACCCTCACAGGGAAGGATTTCTTCTTGACATCTAATCCAAACCTGCTCTCTTCCAGTTGAAAACCATTATCCACCCACATAAATAGTCCCTCTCTCTCCTTCTTATAAGCCCCCTTAAGGTACTGGAAGACCCCAGTGAGGTCTCCCTGGAGCCTCCTCTCCCACCA